AGTTCAAGACCAGCCTGAGCCAGAGAGAGACCTCACCCCTAAAAACAAACAAGCAAAAGCCGGGTGTTGTGGCAGGTGACTGTACTTGGGAGGCTGAAGCAAGAGAATGGCTTAAGCCCAAGAGTCTGAGGTTGCTGTGAGCTGTGATGTTATAGCACTCTACCAAGGGTGACAAAGTGAGACATTGTCTCAAAAAAAAATAAAAGAGTAGTGGAGACAGATTGCTCCATCCATCAGTGTAACCCTTGGAGCTAGTCTTGCAAATGAATAATCAAGTAAAAGTCATATGAGGTATAGTAAAGAAAAACCCAGACATTGACCCATGTCCTGGTACAGACTTGAAAAGGATAAAGCTCTCAAAACCTGTAGGACTGGTTTTCAACCCTTAAAGAATTTAAAAACTTTACCAGAAGGAGTACTGGTCATCATCAGAGTTAGCTTAATTATTCCCTGTCTTGTCCCCTTAGTAGTCAGGATCACTGGGACAGATGTCAAAAAAACAAATGCCTGTAATCCTAGCACTTTGGGAGGCCGGGGAGGGTGGATTGCCTGAGCTCACTGTTTCTAGACCAGCCTGAGCCAGAGCAAGACCCTGTCTCTAAAAATAGCCAGGCGTTGTGGTAGGTGCCTGTAGTCCCGGCTACTTGGGAGGCTGAAACAAGAGAATTACTTGAGCCCAAGAGTTTGATGTTGCTGTGAGCTGTGATGCCACAGAACTCTACTGAGGGCAACAAGTGAGACTCTCTCTCAAACAAAACAAAACAAAAGTTTTGTTTCACACTGTCCTATAGGAAACACTACTGGCTCCTACAGGAGCAGGCTGGTAGTGAGACCCCCAATTAGAATATATATGGAGTCTCAAAGGGGGGAATGAGACAGGATATCCAGAAAAAGAAAGGTCTAAGAGAAGAGAGGTCTTCTCAAGAAGACCCTAAGGATACATCTGCAAGGTCCTCCCGGTGGTGACTCAGCTCTTAGGAATTTGTAGAAACTTAACTTCCTGAGACCTGGAAACCTATGTTTGCTTCAGATTCTATAAAAGCTGGAGCCAGTTTCTCCAGCTTGATTCAAATTGATCAATGAGAAAGGTGCCCATGGGCTGGAACTTTGTGACTGGGGATAAAAAAGAAGACAGCTGGCCATTTTGAATTCTTCTGTGCCATAGCTCCGCCAGCTGAAATAAAGCCCTTCCTCTTAAAAAAAAAAAAAAAAAAAAAGAGCAAGGTGATGTAACTCTTACCATGAAGACTCAAAGGAAAAAAGAAAAAGGCATTTAGCTAAGAGGATTCAGAAAACCTCATGAGGAAGGCTATGTCTGAGATGGGCAGTGAGGATGAATTAGTGTCGAGGGGTGAAGCTTGGTGTCAGGGAAGAGTTATTTTCCCTTGATTTTTATTATCATTTCTCCCCTGCTTCTTCTTTATCCAATTCCTTCTCTTCCTCCTTTTTTTAATACTTTCTTTTTTTTTTTTTTCTTTTTAGAGATAGTCTCACTTTGTTGCCCTTGGTAGAGTGCTGTGGCGTCACAGCTCACAGCAACCTCTGACTCCTGGGCTTAGGTGATTCTCTTGCCTCAGCCTCCAGAGTAGCTGGGACCACAGGTGCCCACCACAACACCCAGCTATTTTTTGTTGCAATTTGGCCGGGGGCGGTTTGAACCTGCTGCCCTCGGTATGTGGGGCCGGTGCCCTAACCATTGAGCCATAGGTGCTGCCCCTTTTTTTTTTTTTTTTAATACTTTCTGTTGATAGCTGAGGACCCACAAGCAGCAGAGTAAGTAAAGTCAAGATAGAAACTTGAGGTGCTCAGTTTTAGGATTCAGTCTCTAAGAACATAGTGTCCAAAAGTGGGAGCCGCCTATAAGTCACTGAGTTATTTATCTGTATTTTCTATCAGTGATTTGTTTTCCTCCTTCCTTGGCAGCCTTCATGTCAAACGCAGAAGAATCTGTGTCAGCCCACACAACCATACTATTGAGCAGTGGATGAAAGCAGCCAGGAAAAATGGAAAAGGCAACCTCTGCCATAAGAAGAAACCCCAAGGCAAGAGGAACAGTAACAAGGCACATCAGAGGAAACATGTAATCTACAGCCTTAAATCTCCTTATTAGAGAGTTTACAAAGGAATCTACAAAGATGGTCCTGCCAGTGAACTTGGCCATGGTTGGTTATAAATTTGTCACCTGAATTTTCCTTATTGGCAGACAACAGATTTTAAAAAATGAATAATTGTACAATATGCAAGTGTAGCCAATAATATACGTAACTGAAAAATGAAATGGAAAGAGCATGTAGATATAATTTCTCCAACTTTTTTATTGGGAAGTTTTCCAGACCTATAGAGAAATTAAAAGGATGGCACAATGAATACCTATATATCTTTCATCTATATTAGTCATTATTATTTTGTCACATTTTCTCTCTCTCTCTTCTCCTTTGTATGTGTATTTATAAAATATTATATATGTATATCACTTTTTTTGCTAAATCATTTGAGAAAAAGTTGCAAACATCATGACACTTCAGTCCTAATTTCGTTTTGATATATAACTTGGCATGTCCTCCAAAATAAAGACATTTTCCTACATAATCACATTGTCAGTTCTATACCTAGAACATTAACAATTTTACCACATATATGCATATATATGTGTGTGTATGTACACACACACATACATATATATAAAGAGAGAGAGAGTGTGTGTTTGTATTCAAGTTTCCCCAATTATTTTCAGAGCATTTTATATAGTTTTTTTCACTGTAATCAGAGTTGACATATTGCAATTAATTGTTTATTCTTTAATATCTTTCAATCTGAGAAAATTTCAGCTTTTTTTTTTTTTCCTATTTCACATTCTGGGTTTCTCTGATTTTTTTCTTTTCTTTTTTTTTTTTTTTTGAGACAGAGCCTCAAGCTGTCCCCCTGGGTAGAGTGCCATGGCATCACAGCTCACAGCAACCTCCAACTCCTGGGCTCAAGCGAGTCTCCTGCCTCAGCCTCCCAAGTAGCTGGGACTACAGGCGCCCGCCACAACACCTGGCCATTTTTTGGTTGCAGCCATTATTGTTGTTTGGCAGGCCAGGGCTGGGGATTCGAACTCACCACCTTAGGTGTATGTGGCTGGCACCTTAGCTGCTTGAGCCACAGGCGCCGAGCCTCTCTGATTGTTTTCTTATGAACAGGTTCATATTTAACATTTTTAGTAAGAATTTCCTATGTGAATTTGTAGACTTCTTATTGTGCCATTTAGAGTTCATGAACATTAGATTTATTTTCTAAATAGAAAAATTTAAGCTGAGTACCACTTTAAAACACCTAGTTTGAGTAGCTACTGTTGTTTCTATTGACAAATTCTGATGCTGAAAAAAAAATGTCTGCCTTGCCCCTCAGAACTTCTGGGATCTTCATTAGGGGTGCAGAGGTCAGTCCTGTGGGGTGGATTTTACACTCTGCCTCAACATGGAGTCTACATCTTTTAACTCCTATTTTTCCTATACTCTATGAGCCGATTCCTATTGTGCCACACCTCTTCTGGCTTCCTTTTTGTCCACGGAGGCTTTGAGATACATAGTAAGAGCCCAATTTTATAAACAGCCAATAGAGAGGACACTTCAGTCCTAATTTCTTTTTTTTTTTTTTACAGTTTTTGGCTGGGGCTGGGTTTGAACCTGCCACCTCTGGTATATGGGACTGGTGCCATACCCTTCTGAGCCACAGGCACCACCCCTAATTTCTTTTTGATTTATAACTTGGCATCCCTCAAAGAATAAAGACACCTCTATCTGGCATCAGGAGTCTTGGGCCTGCCTGCTGGCTAGTCCCAGGCAGTGGGATAAGGATGCTATGTGGAGTACCAATGGGACACACAGAGTTCTGAGCCTGATGTAGATTAAATACCACCAAGTTACACCAAAATTAGTGTAACTCTTATTGACACTAATTTTGCATGTGATTTATTTATTCTCACCAACAATCCTGCAAGCTTTGTACTTTATGGATAGGGAAACTTGAGACTTCTAGAGGTAAAACGACTTCTCCAAGGTTACACAGTTAAGTGGTAGAGACAAACCTTTAAGTCTTTTAACCAACAAATTATTTCCAATTTTGTCTCTTTGCCCATCCCAGATCCATAATTCTATACAAAATGCAACTGAAAGGCTTGGGGCTTGTAGCTCAGTGGCGAGGGTGCCAGCTACATACACCAGAGCTGGTGGGTTCAAATCCAACCTGGGCCTGCCAAACAACAATGGCAACTACAACCAAAAAATAACCAGGCATTGTGGCAGGTACCTGTAGTCCCAGCTACTTGGGAGGCTGAGGCAAGAGAATTGCTTAAGCCCAAGACTTTGAGGTTGCTGTGAGATGCGATGCCATGGGACTGTACCAAGGGCAACATAGGGAGACTCTGTCTCAAAAAAAAAAAAAAAATCAAAATGCAACTGAAACTTTGTCTGAGGATAGTGTACCTGAGAGACCAGATTCTTAAATAAATTGCATTTTTATAGGCTGTCACAAGTGCTTACTAAAATACTGTATCACTGTTACTGTACTAGATACTATTATTGTACTATGAGTAGATAGTGTTACTGTACTATGCCACTGTTATGAGTAAATGACCCAGTCCATCCTCTTAGTTTTCTTTTTGTAAAAAAAAACTACATTTTATATTAAAGTAATACAGGTTTGTGGTAAAAGAAAATCAAAAGTACAGAAATATTTATAATAAAAATATCATCTACAATAACATCCCTGTTTCCAGACCTACTTCCTTAAGGCAACCTCTCTTAACCCTTCTAGAAGTTTGAGTTCAAGTGATTACCTCCCTGTTTCAAATGACATGCTTAAAGTATTATTTATTTATTGCTTTGTGGCAGTATCTATGGCCTCCTTATTACTCCCTACTTCCCTGCCCTTCTCCTTTCCTCACCCTAGGGCTTATGTTTTATTCCTGTTATATTTCTTTGTCTTTATAACTTTGAATAATATACCCACTCTCCATTCATTAATATTTATGTAAGGTAAAGATAATACACCATACTCTTTTCCTTTTCCTCTTATCTTCCCATTTCCCATCTTGTGCCACATCAACTATACTTTTTTTTTCTTTAAGATAGGATCTTGCTCTGGCACTCAGGCTGGAGTGCAGTGGCACCATCATAGCTTACTGCAACCTCAAACTCACGGGCTCAAGTGATCCTCCTGCCCTAGCCTCCTGAGTAGCTGGGACTTCAGGCATGTTCCACTACACCCAGCTTATTTTTCTATCTTTTATAGAAATGGGGCCTCTCTCTTGCTCAGGCTACATCAGCTATACATTTACATGCCTGAGGTTGATAGGTGTAACTCTGTACTATAATAATAATCAAATTTCATGTTTTATTTATTTATTTATTTTGAAACAGAGTCATACTATGCCACCCTCAGTAGAGTGCTGTGGTGTCACAGCTCACAGAAACCTCAAACTCTTGGGTTGAAACTAGGATTACAGGCATGAGCCACTGTGCCCGGCCACATTGTTTTTTAATTCTAAAATCTACCTTTCCAACAGGTGTGGTGGCTCACAACTGTAATCCTAGCACTCTGGGGGGCTGAGTTCGGTGGATTTCCCTGAGCTGACAGGTTCAAGACCAACCTGAGCAAGAGCGAGACTCGTTCCTAAAAATAGCCAGGATTGTAGGAAGTTGTGTTTCTTCAGGTTTACATCGCAGCTGTAGTCCCAGCTACTTGGGAGGCTGAGGCAAGAGGATCACTTGAGCCCAAGAGTTTGAGGTTGCTGTGAGCTATGACGCCATGGCACTCTA